CTACTTCCCGTTCAGAAAACTATCCCTTTCCCCAAATGATGAAAAGCCACTGACATCCCCTGTGCAGAAGAATTATTAGGAGTGAAACAAGATGGTGTTAAAACCTCATCACCCAGAAGAGCTACTCACCCGGAAGTCATCTGGAAGCTGAGAATTTTTTGTGAGCATTTGGGAATAGGAGCTTGCTGCTTCTATTTGAATATCTGTAGGGGATGGAAAGGATTTCTAGTAATTTGCTGTCTCTCCATTTGTCCCCTCTTGTTCCTATGAAACAGGACTTCCATTTATATTGATTTGCCTCTGAAATGGTCATATAAACCATTCTCCACCTCAAGGCTGTGGAACTCACAGACCAGACTTCTTCCCTTTGCCTGTCCTTGGTTGTCCTACTTGGAGTTTGTATATTAGGCATCGCAATGATGTGCCACATCACATCCAGGGAGCCCAGGCTCCCCACAGGACAGTTTTAGAATCATAGAATCATAGAATGTTTTGGGTTGGAAGTGACCCCTAGAGGTCATCTAGTCCAACCCCCAAGTTTGTTTTGAGTGTACAAAGATGTCATTTGTGACAGAATGGTTGGACAGGAGAGAAACCGTATGGTAGAAGAGCTGGTCTGTCTGGTGTTTGCAGCGGCATCTCTGTTGATAAAGGGACTGCAACTGTTTGCTAACAAATACAGTTTGAGGCTTTGCCTGCCACTGTCCATAATCCCAAGCACAGGGTCACTCTAACATCTGATAAATGTGCTTTTTGTCTATATCCTGCACTAGGCAGCTACAAGTGAATCAACTTTATGTTCTTACTCAGTTTGGTCTGTCTAATTTTTATGGTTCTTGCAATCTGCTCAAAGTTTAAGCTGGTTACTTCTAAATGCAACCTAAAAAGCTGAAACACTCTGCTTGCAGGACTGTAACTACTTCAACTTTACAGCCTGAGATAAAAAGTCCTCTCCCACTGAGCCCCTCCAAGGACGTTGTTAAAATTAAGGGCAGTGTGTTAAAAATCTGTTACATCTTTTACTAGTGAGTCATAACCTGTTCACTTACAGGAAAATGAACTTGCCAGCCTAGTAACCATCAGAATTGTTGCCTTTCCAGTTTTTTAGAGGTGCCTGATCTTTGTTTCCAGGTGGTTGTTGTGATGGAGACTATTGACCGCAGGAAAAGCAATAATTTAACACATACTGTAATACAGTGCAGTTGCCCAGAGTATGATGATATTAGCTGGAGAGGACAGAAATCTTTTAAAACAGAGTACGTTTACTTACAGCATAAATTAGACAAAAAACGTCATTTGGGGAAGCCAATAGTGCAATTAGATGTTCTTTTTTGGTTTTGTATTTTCTAGGCAATAGAAGCGGAGGCAGAGGAGATGAAGCAACCCGGAGTAAGTAACTCATGGAGCAATGTAGAATAAAGAGGGCAATAGTGTGAATCATCTGCTTGAGAGACTTGGCAGATCCCCCCCAACAGAACCAGCTAATCCCCAGGCTCCTAACACACACGCACACATATATGTCTCATAGAATTGGATTATGGAGATATGTATACACTTTCATAAGCATGAATATTATATTTAAGGTACTTTCTACCAACATTCTTACCTTCCGTTTGCTCCGCGTCATTTCCATCTCAGCAAAGGTAATTGTTGAGGATGTTATGGCAACTTATAGGCGCCTGTTGGCTCATAAATCTTATGTGCTTATCCTAGAGATGTCTTTTCTACGTATGCTATTTTAGGCAGTATCTATCATCCATCACTGTACAGTGTAGCTATGGTAAAAAACGGACTACTGTACCAAACCTGATCTCTGACAAAGCAGACACAGGCCAGCCCTGTAGTGATGGCAGCTCCTAGATGGTTTATTATAGAGGGTAGAATGGTGACTTGTGTGGTGTGTGAAAAAATTGACACTGCCTCGAGTTTCTTCCCTTCTACAGATTCTTCAACTTCTTCAGGAAAAGAAAAAAAGACTAAAAAATTTGCTAATAGTTAGGCTTTCAAGAAAAGGTCAACCATCCATATCAAGGTCCCAGTGATGGGTACTAGACTAGAAAGAATTTCAGAGTGTTTTGAGTTAGCGAAGTGTTTCAGAACATTAATAATGAACAACACGTGGAAACAATGAAAGTGCTTGGAGGAGGAATATTTCCATTTCGGTTAACCAATTTTAGGCCTCCCACTTAGCCACCCAGTCTCCCATGTACAGCCATGGAGGAAGACAAGCTGCTTCAGGAGACTACTGAGGGTGACTCTGTATTAGTAGCTCAGCTCAGGAATGCAGTTTAGATTGTGCCCACTTACTCTCTCCTAATTCAAATCGCATGGTCTCTGCACATGAATGAGATTAATCCAAAATGTACTCAAATCACTACCATGTGTTCAGTTTATAAGAACCAGACGAGAGCTAAACTGAAGTAAACCCATGAAATGCACAAACTGTGGACGCTGGGTCCTCAGCACCAACTGTTTCACC